TGTGTGTGTGTGTGTGTGTGTGTGTGTGTGTGTGTGTGTGTGTGTGTGTTGGGGGGGAGGAAGGGGTGATTCTAAGCTTCATAACCCTAATTTAGAGAGCAGTTACCATCTTTAAAAAAAATTACACATTGCTTATTCCCAGGCAAGCTATAGTCAGACAGATGAAAGTAACATGAGAACTGTTGATGAAGGACAGAGCTGCACCCGCCCCTACAGAGGAGAAGATGGCAGCCTGGCAGCAGCCTCACCTCACGGAAGAGAGGACCCACTACACGCAGCAGCTCCCAACAGACCCCTGCCCCTAAAGACGTGTTCTGCCGGCTATAGCGCAGCTAACTTTTTGTTCTCAGATTTGTAGTTCATAGATGTGTGTTTTGAGAAGGAAAAAAAAGAAAAAGACTTCTGTTCAAAGCTAACTTATCAGCTACATCTTCTGTAACCTGTCTCATCCCTCAAAATGAAAACACAGGCTGAAATCCCACGCTGCTGTTACTCACAACGGCAGTATTAACAAGCATCTTAAACCTTTGCACATGATATTGAACCTGGTCAGTTTACAACGACAATATTAATACTGTTTATAGCTAGGAGTTTGATTTCTGAATTCTCTGAGATTTTAGCAAAACAATTGATTATACACACTGTACATTTTTTTTTCCCACAGCGGTTGGAGAAAAACAACCACTTGCAATTATTCACTAAGCCCGAAGGATTTGGTTCCTGAGGGTACAGACTCAGAGCCCTAAAGCCAAGAAGGGCCCTTGGCCTGCATGGTCTGCACTTGTCTCCAAGTCTCTGAGAGCAGAGGCTTGAACCAAACACACCAGGAGAATCCAGCCTCTGGGGCTTCGTTCCAACTTGGGGTTGTTTTCTTTCAAGATACTCTAACCAATCAGCCCTAGAGTTTAGTGTAAATATTTTTTTCCAAATAGAGATCATATTCCCCCCAAAAAATAAAGGCAACATTCAAATCATATAGAATCTAGTTTTTAAAATCAGCACAGATCTTCTTAAAAACTGTGAACTCTGTTTTGAAATACTCGTTACTAAAGCTGTTTATAAACCACAGGTGCCATAAGATCCCCCCAATGGACTCAAGTTATCTCTGCTCTTCCACGGGCTGGTTCCTCTCGGTTTAGCTTTAGGGAGCATGTTTCTAACAGCACCGCTCGTCCGCAAGTTCCCCTATCAGGTCGTTTGGACGCCTTTCAGCTTTAAATGTACAGGCTTAAAGTGCGCTTGCAAACGTTCGTCCTCCTTTTCTTTCTGAATGTGTATTGCCTTAGCTGGCTACCTGGTGTTCTGCATGCAGCCTCCTCTGGTCACATGAGAGGAAACAGGCACTTCTAAGTGGAGTTGGGATTTTGCACTCCGTGAAAAGCTAATGTGCAAAAGAACTGACAAGGAAGGGAGAATGAATGACTCTGTCGATGGTCCTTTCTGAGGGCCCTCTTTGGGGAGCACTAAAGACCTCCCTTAGGGATTCTGGGGAAATGAAAAACTAATCTACTGGTTTCAAGATTTGATGAAATAAACATCCTACAACATAGTAGAAACATTATCCTTAAATTGGCAGCTTCCCTGGCTTCCTGTTTCTCCTTTAAGAGAAAGAAGAGAACATCATTTTAGAACAGTGGTTCTCACAGTGTGGTCCCTGGGCCAGCAGCGTCAGTATCACCTGGGAATTTATTAGAAATGCAGATCCTTAGGCCCTAACCCAGGCCTAAGGAATCAGACATTCTGGGGCTGGGGCCCAGTAATCTGTGTTTGAATAAACCCTCCAGGTGATTCTGATGCAAGCCAAAGTTGGAGAACCACTGCTTTAGAATAAAGTTGTATAACAAAATCTCTGAAAAGGCCTTATTCAGGATAAGCAAGAAAGATTCTGAGTCAACCTCAAAGCTTCAGCTATTCGGTTTTGCTTCCAGGGCTGGCAAAAACCTGCCACCTCCCAGAGTCGGTAGTTGGTGGGTGCCCAGCTGAGAAGAGACATCCTGACATCTTCCAGCTTCCTCTCCAGAGAGTTCTAAGATGTTCATGTCTCTGCACTGGGTCAGAAACCATCTCCTTGGCTGCCCTGTGGAACAAAATCGCTTGCCTTGGGGATAGTAAAGCTCTTGGCTGACATTAGCAAGGAGCCCAGTCTGCCCACTGATGTACTTAATCATATTTCCCTCGGGAGAACCAGCCTGACAAATGTCCCTGAGAACAGCCTGACACCAAAGGGACACAACTGCACAGTTCTCAGCTTTCTTTGCACAGATGGATTTTATTGCGGATTTTGTTGGTATATCTTAATGTTCATCTCTTTTCCACTGCCCAACCTCTGTGAACCCGTGCCTCTCTAGATGGAGCAGGTGACCACTGGTGCCTCATACTCAGCACTTAAAACCACTACATCCCAGCTACCTACATGGCTGTCAGCTCTCAATCATAGCCGGGCAGTTCCCGAACTCAGAACCCTGACCCTGCAGGTGGCATTCAGCCACCAACTGGACCGAGCTGACAGATGTTGTCATTTTGTGTTTCTACATCAAAACGTTTGTCTAAGGTTTGAACTGTTCTGCCAATAACCTTCCCCCGTCATAGCATTCATTGCCAACTCCATCACACGGTTGTCGAAACCATCGTACAAAGCCATTGCAAGGACTCTGGAAACTGCTGCCAATGACCAATTCCTGACTAACCAGCCACCTTTTCTTTCTCTTAGCTCCACGTCAGCACTGAGACCAGACTCAAGCACCCCTGTCCTGTAACCGAGACAAAATGGCGTGTGTTGTTCTGGGTTTTTGTGGTTTGCGGTGGGTTTCTTTCCTTGGCTCTCCAAATCTACTTTTGGGGCCTGTTCTAAGTGCAAACCCAGCAGGTGCCACCTGTCCTGTCCATTAGATCCAATTCCGTCTGGCGGGGGTTGTTTCTTTCTTGTTCCACGATGAATTGCACATCCACCTCCATTAGAGATGTTGGCCTATTAATGAGCACTGGTCTAACACAGCCAACCCTCCCCCACGGGGCCATGTAATGGAGGGAGGGAGGAGGGTGAAATCTACTGTAGGGGATTCAGGAATCAGTAGTGGTTGGTCAGGACGGAAGTCGGGGTAAATTTGGTTGGTCACAGGGAGATGTGCTGGAGATTGTGAAAAATGGATTCTCGAGTGATCTACTATAAGGCAGGGAAGGTTCATTTGTAAGTAGTAATGTGAACTGAACTACATAAGAGTGTGGCCTTTGTTGTGATATACTATGTATTTTCTTATATGCATGAGCCAGACTGTTGCCTCATAATTTAGCACTGATGTCTGCTTTTATTTTGATCATCTTTGTGCACCCTTATTAGTTCTTGGCTGTTAACTGTAGGTAGACGTTGTAAATCCGGCAGCCTTTGGTTGCTGCAATCACCTTGGTTCAATTCCGCACAAGGAGCCACAAACAAGAACTCCACCGTGTCCTCAGAAGAAAGGGCATTTTTACCTTTGAACCAAAAAGAGGGGGAAAAAAATCAGAAGTATCACATCCTGAGGCTAATTAACTATAAGACATTTTTAATTATGACTACTGTAATTTGACACCATTTGAAATAACCAATTCAGAGATACTAAAGATTTCACAACATTCATTGGTATGTAACAAAACTACTATTGTATGGGTTTTTTGTATTGCTGTTAAGTATTGTTTTGTGTGTATGTGTGTGTGTTGGAACCTCCTGGGGACATGTTATATTTTGAAGTGATTAAACTATTTAATTGTGTGTCTATATTTTGGAATGGAATTATTTCTTCATTAAAAAATCTTTTTAAAAACACTATATCTTGTGTATTTTGTTCCTTTGTTTCAGTGAATTTCCTAAAGCAACATGAGGTTAGTCTGTTCTAAGGAGAAAGACGACAAGTCTGTATTTGCAGCGTGAAGCATGGACCACCATTGAGGATCAAGCAACTGAAGCCAAATACCTCACCTTTTCCTGCCTTTGGGGATGCAGGTTTTTTTTAATGAGATACTATTCTGCTGCTCATAGAAAGCCTTGTAGTAATCAACATACCCTTGCCTTTCTTCTCTTCCTCTTCTTTTTTCTTTTCTCCCCCAAATTCCAAATACTGGGGAAAAATAACATTTGTGTAATCCTTTACAACTTTAGAAAAAACTGCTTTATTTACATTTAATCCTCACAATATCCATTTGAGGAGTGCTTAGTCATCCAGATGTATAACCTAGGGAGCTGCCTATGTTCTGAAAAAATCTGCAGACAAGGCTGAGATGGGAAGAAGACTGGGCATGCCATCAAACAAGAAACAGAGGGAAAACAAGAAATTTCCCAGCTCTGAGAAGATGGTGCACTTTTCGGAGGAGTTTCTGAAATTGGGCTTCTCCCTCTATCCAGGGCTATGAAGACTTCACCTCACCCCTGCTAGATCTGGCATTGGTCAAGACTAAGATTCATCCAAGGAGTTGTGCTCAATTCCTTGGCTTTGGTTTAATTCCTACTGCTGTCTTCTGGTTGCCTTAGCAACACATATTAAAGTTTGTGAATTTTTTGTTCTAAACATTAACTAGTAAAGGAGACCTGGGAGGCAATGGAAAGGTGAAAAGAGATTTTCAGTATCAAATTTTTTTCTAAGACATCAGATCCTGAAGCAAGACTGTGATATACACCAAGAACCAGCACAGCCCAAAACATTCCCCTAAGACTTCACTGGCATAGTCAGGAGTAATGGGGCAGGTCTAGTTGTCCAACACTGGAGCAGCTTAGGGCAAGAACCTTTTCCCGGTTTGTAGCCAACATGGGAACAATGGTCCTCTGAAAAACAAAATCCTTTATAGTCCTTTTAAAAATGCTGGCTTTCGGGCTTCCCTGGCGGTGCAGTGGTTGAGAGTCCGCCTGCCGATGCAGGGGACACGGGTTCGTGCCCTGGTCTGGGAAGATCCCACATGCCATGGAGCGGCTGGGCCTGTGAGCCATGGCCGCTGAGCCTGCGCGTC